GAGAAAGAATGTTATTTTGTTTGAGTCGTAACTTGTGGTGTTTTTGGTTTGAAATGTTATTGTTGATACGGAGACTCACTATACAAACAATTACGAACATGCCGAATTATTATATGAAAAAACATAGATCTTCTTCATTGTATAAACAATATGCAAATAAGAAGAATGAAACTAGAATCTTTTGTTGCAAAATAAATGAGTACGAAGTTGAAGCTAAATAGATTGGAATAATTTGTATTCGAGAACTATTTTGCTTACAACATTTTAATTGATCTTCTTTGTCAAATTCGACTAACTACGAAGATTTAGATTGCAATCCCTCGGAAATCAGTTTCTCTTAGCCGTATCGGAGTTAGACTTCATCGGGGTGAACTCATAACTGATATCAATAGTGAGAATACGCCTTAAATAGTCCGAGTTCTAGTTCATTGTCTGAAGTAAAAAAAAAAAACAAAGTTCTAATATATTTTTTTACGACATTTCTAAGGATTTAAACTCTCAATTTTTTCCCAACAAAAAATATATTTTATTTTGTATATGTATTCAAAGAAAAAAAATATGTTATGACAGCTCTCACTTTCAAAGGCTTTCAAATGGGTCCCAGATGGATGATTCTAATGTCAAACAAGTAACCTAAGTTCGGCCCAGAAACCTGATGGTCCACTTTACATTTTTCATTAAATATATTCTCAGTAAATAAACAAATACCAGTAAAACCCAAAACATTATATATTTTGATACTTTTTTAGTTCAAAACAACTATTGAACGTTAGTTCAAATTAAATATTTTCAGTTAAAAACAAATATTGAACATTAGTTTAAGTTCAAAAAGGACATTAGTTTTAAACTTTAAAAGAGTCAAAGATGAATCGTTTTTGGCGGCGAATTAAAACATAAGATTTGATTTTAACTTTAATTACAATAATAAAATAAATAAAAAGAAAATCTTATTATAATGCTCGTATCTTAAAAAAAACGAATTTAACTGTAACAACAAAGCTTAAAAACCGAAACTTTAAAAGAGATCATCAAAGTAACTAGAAACTGAGAAGATTCTCAAACCAAAGATCCATGGCGGATTCCTATTTCTCTCTCTTTCGATTGCAACAACAATCACACCAAAGGAGGAGGAGGGAGGAGGGTCGAAACAGAGAAGGGTCTCGTCGTCCAAAAGAAAGCAAAAAAAAAAAAACTCTCCTTTTTCTGGGACACGTGTCGTGTAGGGAATGGTTAAGGTCACTCTCCGTTCCCGGTTCTGTCGAGCGGTGCGTGCCATGTCAGAGTCCGTTCCCCTATGAGCCCGGCGAATCCGAATCATATGC